GACCCAAGAACCTGACTCTTAAAGAGCCCACCATTTCCACATCTGCCATCTTGAGGACAAAGCCTGCTTACACAGGAGCCTTCTGAGAGATTTTTGGGCCATAAGGCACACCATAGCAGAAGTGTGGGAAACATGTTAATTTAGACTCAAGTCTCATTACCGTGGTATCTCACTCTGTATGTCCATATAGTCCCCAAACTGAAATCACCTGAGGCAAAACGTTTCTGATTCTAAATATTTAGAAAAGCAGTACCCAATATGCACACACACTCAGCCAGTGTGCACGTGGAGATCAAAGGACGACTGGTAAAAACCAGTTGTTTCTTTCCACCATAGGGGTCCCAGGAATTCTTGTCAGCAAGCAGCTTTCCCCCTACTGACCCATCTCACCAGCCCCACCTAAAAATACCCTGTCAATGCTCTTAGGTTCAGGTCAGCTTTTCATACCATGATCTCATTGTTTCTTCTGTAACAGCCTGTTAGGCATATTCACCATACTTTCCCTATTCACGCCTTCAGTGACAGACACTGTCACCAATTCTATATCTTGGCTATTATGACTACTGCTGCAGTTAAGAAGAAAGTCCAAGCAACTCTTTGATGTAATGAGTTTATTTCCTGTGGGTACAGAGCCCAGAGTGGGACTGCTGGGTCCTAGGAAAGTTCTGTGTGTTTTAAAAACTCTGGGTGTCTACTGTCTTCCACAATGGCTGTACTAATTTCTATCTCCACCAGTGTGTGAGAATTCCCCTTTCTAAAGCACCACACCGAAAACTCATGATGATGTGTCTCCTAAAAGGAAGAAATAAATCAGAAAGGCAACCAACCTTTAAAAAGGATGCTTACCCCATCCATTACCACCTCAGACAGACAAACTGGGAAAAATAAAGTAGGTAATAAAATGAAAAACTCCTGAGTTCAGTGTTGAGGTTTGGAGGCCTGAATTCCAGATCCACATAGAGCTAATCGTCTGCAACTGTGAGGTTTGTACACAAGGGTGAATTGTCACAGTGCAGACTCTCTCCACATCAGCAGAAGACACAGCTGGAGTGAGTTAGTCTGAGAATTTTATCCAGCTATACAGAAGCATGGCCAAATGTAATTAGCTATACAGGCACTATTTACAGCTAGTACTTTTCCTTTTTATACTTCCAAATATCTATATTACCTTAGCTTTGGAGGCCTTTTAGGTCTTAAAATCCTTTCTTTTGAGACCTAGAAAAATCACTGGTGTTCCACAGCTGACTTGCTTCTGTGTACAGTGTGAATTGTGATACTGTTTCAGAAGGTTGAATACACAGATGTATCTACAAATTAAACATTGTTAATATTACTACAATAAATCCAGCTCCAAAACACAGCAGGAGCCCACAGCTGTTTACATTTAGCCATCTTTATGCACAGGTTCTTATCCATAGAGTCTGCCTTCTGTGGTTTTAGCCAATGAAAGAATAAAAGTATTCAGGAAAAAGATATGTGCAGACTTGTTATCATTATTCTCACAACACTGTATTATAGCAACTGCTTACAGTGCTGAGTGCATAATCTAGACAGGATTTTAAAATGTATTGAAGAGCCAGGCATGGTGGCACACACTTTTAATCCCAGCACTGGAGAGGCAGGGACAGGTGGATCTCTGAGTTCAAGGCCAGCCCAGTCTACAGAGTGAGTTCCAGGCCTGCCGGGGCTACATAGTGAGACCCTGCCCCAAATATTAAAATGTACAGGAGGACTGTATAACTTTTATGTAAATACCATGTTATATTATAGAGAGAATGTGGCCTAGGGGTACTGGCACTAATGCCCCCATATGAGATGCCCAAGGTAACTATGTAAAAGCCATTCAGAAATGAACCTTGTACTCTGAATTCCACAAATGAAAAAGGGCAGATGGTGGAAGACTACGCAGGGATTTAGGCCAGCCCCCGGCAGGGCCCTGCTGTCTGTCCCCTGCACACACCTGCTGGGAAAGGCTGTAGGCACAGGAAAAATTGCTGTGGGTGGAATAGACGGCCTGGGGTGGAGCATTCTACCCCGGTTTACCTATGGGAGACCATAACCTTTTGCAGCAACCTGAAGTCACAGTGGAGACATGGACTGAGCATGCCGGAGTGGGAGGTGGACAGGTATGGACTAAAGCCCTTCCTGATCCTTGTGAGTTAAACGTATAAAACACTTTTAGAGGGAAGTCGGAAGAGTCCTAACGTTAAAAGCAAACGTTAGGTTGAGGCAGTTTGTATACATACACGCCTGACTGCATGCACCGAAAATGTTGTGGCTTCGCAACTGAGCTGGATGCCAAAACAGTCTTCCTCCCACGCATCCCTTTGGGCCATGATGCCTTAGCCCAGCATCAGAAAAGTCATTCATACACCCTGTCTACTCATGACACTTTGGGAAGTGGAGCCAAAAGGCACACAGCACAGGGCAAGAGGAATCATGGGAAGGCACACACTTGGTCACAGAATGTTCCAGTCAGCGGGATGATGCCAAACGCCTTTGGTCCAGATAGGCTATGTGGTCCACAGCTAGCAGCTGACCTCTGAATGTTAAGGGGTCCTGAGCTGGAAAACACCCACTGCACGTGTGTCCACTAATGCCACCCAGGCAGCCACATCCAACGCCACCTGCTGTAAGCTGGGGTCCCTTGGAAGCTAAGGCTGCTGTTTTAAAGCTTGATGACAAAAACATGCTTTTATTTCCTTGAAGTCACAGTACGTACCCATCAATTATTTATTCCTGTTGGGTTACGTTATTTCATTTCAATCTGTCAGTGTTTATCATGGAAGCTCATTTTACCTGCATAGTTTGGGGTGTTTTCCCACTTTCTCTTTAGGGCATCTTGTAGCACCTTCCCACCTCGGGGTCACTTGTTCTGCCCATTTATTAGTCTTCGCTACTGGGTAAGGTAGCTTTCTGAAAGATAAATGAACCTCATTCTGTCTTTAAATATTTATGTTTCCTTATGCTCTAATATATCATCGTGGTTATAGGGGAATTTTCCCCTAACTATGGAAAATAGGCCATCAGTTACCTGTCAATTTTGTTTAATAACTCGGCTTTGCGATTCGGGCGCACTGTTCATCAGAGGCTCTTGAGAACTCCTTTAGCCTCCCCATTGCCTTCAGAGTGTCATGCTGGGATTTATAAAGGTCATCAAGGCACAGAGGGTAATGAAACATTAAGTACGTTAGTGGTGTGCCCTTCGTCACTCATCACGCTGGAAGATCCAGGACGAGAGATCGTGGCATCTTTGTCTTATTTGCTTCCAGGTGGGATGGCTGTCTCTGTAGAAAACCAGTCTCCCTGGAAACAATTCATCAGCTGCTTCAAAAGAAATCCAATTTCATCTGGGCTGATGGGCTCAGCATGGCTTTTTAAGATAAATGATGAAAATATCAATATCACAATGCAAAGAACTCCAATTCTTTTGGCTTAATCTCGGAGAAAAGTATCATAAACGATTTACTGCCTCAGTAGCAGAACCTAGAGGTCCTGGGCACCCTGAAGGTGGGAGTGGCTTGGAACCTTTGACAGTTGCGGTACCGAGGTGTGAGGGTTCTGTACTCCACACTCCTCATGACCCCCAGGTAGTTCTGAGTGAAGCACTCCGAAGTTTAGAAACATCTAGGCTAGAAAGTCTAGGCTTCAGAGAGCCCTAAGGTCTAACTCCATTCGATAAGTCTAAATTTGTACATGTCTTCCTCCCCTTGGGCAGTTTTAAAATGGATATTTTCAGGAAGTTCCCTAAACCGACATCTTTTTCTCACGCCTGTGCATCTAAGGGAAACAGAACCATATAGCATGGGTCCTTAATTCACAAAATAAGGAAAGGGTCAGGGAGGAAGTTAACTATGTGCCACAGCAGACACAGCCAGTCTATAACCCTCATAAGCACGCAGCTAGTGTCCTGCCTCCTCCAGCTAGCTCTCGCAGTTTCCACAGCCTACCAAAGCAATGCCAGCAGCTCTGGATAAAGTGTTCAAATATAGGAAGCTGTAGGAACATTCCACAGTCATGCTATAGCAGGTTTCATGAGGCTGAAATAAGTCCTCATTTAAAACTACAACAAAGCACTAATCCTCAGGAGGCCCTCCACATGACCGTGCCAGACTATGCTCCCGAGACACTCGTGAAGTTGCCCATCTGAAATAAGCAGGGTCATCCCTCCCCCTTCTTAGTATATTCGAGGGCATCATTTCTCCTGTTCTAATGGAATATCAACTGAAAAGAAAGGCCAGTGGGGTTACCAGAACTACTCCTGACTCCTGACTACACCCCCATTGAAAAAGCAATCGTAAAGCTCCTGAAATATATTCCCATACCCAAGGATGCTCCCTTCCTCCATAAATGGGAGGTTGGGGGGGTGCTTTAGTTTGGTTTTTGGTTTTTCTTTCCCTGAGATATTCTTGATGAAGAAGAAGCAAACTCAAGGACCTGAGTGTAGGAACCAAGTTCCCGAGCCAGCAGTTCAGATGTGTAGGATTTTTTACTGTCCTAGTCTCTTCATCACACTCTGCTTTCTTCTAGTCCCTCAACCTTGGTAAAGCTTTCATGGCAGGAAGGAAGGAGGTGACCCACACCTTGGAAGCCTCTTCTGTCCCTTTACTGATAGGCTGGGCACACGAAGCTGCCCTAATACTACCATTACTGTTATTGTGTTCCTGTTACCATCGCTGTTACAAGAGTTCATCTTGATGAAAAACCACATTCTACATGCTTTATATGAATTGACTAATTCTTCCAATATCCTGAAGAGGTAGGCAGCAGTTATTATCCCGTCTCAAGGAGAAGAAAGCTATATTTTCCAAGAATCTCCGATAATAAGATGATGAGTGAGTGACTAAGAGGTTGAGTGGGACAGAATGCGCCTGCCAGGAAGTCAGTAGCTGTTTGTGAAATAAGTAAACATATTCGCATACAGTTAACAGTGTGGGCATGCCCCCAGCCACCATGCTGCCGGAGCAAACACTCACCAAGCTTCTGTCTTGCTTCCGTAGGCAGTACTACGAGATGCTCTACAACACAGCTGACGAGCTCTTGAACCTGGTGGTGGACCAGGGGGTGAAGTACACAGAGCTGGAGTATATCCATGCCCTGACCCTGCTACACCGCAGCCAGACTGGCGTGGGGGACCAGACCATCCAGAACACCAGGCTGCAGAGGCTCAAGGAGATCATCTGTGAGCAGGCTGCCATCAAGCAAGCCACCAAGGACAAGAAAATAACCACTGTCTAATGGTGTGCACCACAGTGGGTGTGTATGTGCGGGGGAGGGGGGGTTCAGGGGGGTCACTCAGTGCAGCCACGGGTTCTGGCGTGAGCTGACTTGCTCTTGCCTACACTGATGCTTAGTGGATAGAAGGTGCATCATTTCCTCCTTAGTTCTGCTTTTCTATATGAACGTTAAGGAAGTTTGCAGTACAGAATGTTTGGCCTAAGGACTACTTTAGGGATGAGGGTGGGGCAGGAAGGAGGGCACGTGAATAGAGGAAAGCTGTCTGCTACCTGAGTTTAGGACCATCCTGAAACTACTTAATGTGGTCTATGGCATAAGCAGGGGGCTTTTTTTTTTCTCTCTCTCTCTCTTGTTTGTCAGTTAATAGTTGGTGAGAGTGTGTACATTACTTTGTCTCCGTTGCCAAAATTAAACAAAAGGCTTCTCAGCTGGCTTCCTTACCAAAACCAGATCTCCTCGGGGCTGGGGAGAAAGCAGCCCTTCATCCCCTGCGAGCGGTGGGAGTGTTATAGCTTGTACACGGGTCGCTGGTTGGTTTAATATCCTTTTTGTTCTATTCCTTCCATATTAAAATCAAGTCAGGGCTGGAGGGGTGGCTCAGCATTTAAGAGCACCAGCTGTCCTTCCGGAGGGTCAGAGTTCAATTCTCAACACCCGTACATGAAGCCCACAGTCTTCTGTAACTTCAGTCCCTGCTGACCTGATGTGCTCTTCTGGCTCAACAGGTACCTCGAGTGTGTGGTACACAGACACTCATGCAGGCACAAACACTTATACACATAAAGTAAGAAAGAAATCAAGTCACAAAACCAGTGCTAAAACAGGCGGAGGAAAGGTGATCCCCACCCCCCACCCCCCATGATGACCCTGTAAATAAGCTCTGGCTGCAGAGCTCCCCACCTCACACTTCAGTGAGGGTAAGTTTTGCGGGGCATCCTCATGTTCCTATGCACACTGCACTAGTCAGTTCTGTTCTGGGACTCAGGAAAGGAAGGGCAAGCCTATCGTGACAGGGAAGCCATGACAACTGGAGCGTTTGGAGCCGGGGAAGGGCAGTGAATGCTTGTGTTTGGGTAACCCTCCCCTTTCTATGCAGCCTGGGACCTCAGCCCATAGAGTGGGCCTTCACACCTCAGTTGATACGATTGAAATTCACAGACAAGTCTTGCCCTCATTGGTCTTGCCGCTGCTGTAATAAACCATGAACCAAAACTAACACCCATCAAGTACACAGACGCACAAAAGTAAGAATAGTGTTTAAAGAATTTGACTGTGGAAAAGTAAAGCAGTTAGCATTACAGTAAAAATTCAGAGAAGAATAAAGCAATACTAGTATTTTAATATTAAGCAATATAGCTCAGGTCTGCTCAACTAAAAGCAAGGAAGATGGGACATTTTTCCTGGGTGCCTACCAGTGAGACAGGGTTTCTCTGTGTAATAGCTCTGGCTGTCATGAAGTTACTCTGTAGACCAGGATGGCCTCAGACTCAGAGACCTGTCTGGGATTAAAAGCATGCATCACCATGCCTGCCTGCTAAGCCTCTTTTGAACTGCCCTTTCCTAATATGGGTGCCTGAAATACTCATGGCAATATGGATCTTGACAATACCTCAGGCTCCCATATCCTCTCACTACTCAAGGGTCATAGGTCACAGGAGGCATCAGTGTACTGGAAAGAGCCAGAAGGGCTGGGACTATTCCAGGTCACTCTTAGACCCCTGGGGGCGAACTATCACATCTGTTTGCAACAACTTTGGTTTGGATGGGAATAACCAAAAAATTAAAAACTGTTTTGAGAAGCTTAAATGTTGTTTGTTATTTTCCTCATAGTCTTCATTCAGCAAACGTTTCCTGGGATCCTAACACGTGGCAAGTGTGATACACTTGGGCCATGTCTTAGGGTTTCTATTGATGTGAAGAGACACCATGACCAAGACAACTCTTATAAAGGAAAACATCTAATTGGTGGTTTATAACCTCTGAGGTTTAGTACATTACTCTCATGATGGAACAGCGCAGCGTGCAGGCGGACATGGTGCTGGAGAGATAGCAAGAGTTTTACACCGGCAACAGGAAGTGGACTGAGCCACTGGGCGTGGCTTGAGCAAATTTGAGAACTCAAAGGTCACCACCACAGTGACACACTTCCTCCAACAAGGCCATACTCACTCTAACAAGGCCACGCCTCCTAATTGTACCACTCCTTTGAGGGGCCATTTTCTTTCAAGCCACCCCAGGCCAGACACACAGACAGAGGACACCTGTGCATTAGATGCATACCTAAAACTGAGCCTGAAACCAGGTCAAGCAGTGAGGCAAGAAGCCAGCAGGCAGCTGCGGAATGGCTTTCTAGCACCTTCTGAGAAGAAGGAGGTCTACACATCAGTGTCTAGAACCCTGACAGGGAAGAGGTTGAACGCGCACAGGAGACAGTCGTGGGAAAGCCCAGTGCCTCCTCACACAGCGTTCCTGTGAGTCTACCGAGAAGTCAGGGTGTCAGCAGGGCAGAGAGCTGTGGGAGCGAACCTCTTTTGTTTGGACGCGTCTCTGTAGTGACTGTGGCGTCTGGACTCACACCTTTGCCTTCTCCTTTCCTTCCTGACAGTGCTGAGGGTGTGGGATGGTTTTCCCAGGTGTGGAAAGGGACAGGAACGCGGCTTGAGAGTAACAGTGGGCTCAGTGACAGCCAGCGGCCTCCAGGCAGAGGAGCTGCCGCAGAGAGCATGTGCAAGGGTGGATCCCCACTTTGCTACAACAGAGGCAGCCCGGAAATGCCAGTTCTACACAGCAAAATTGGTGTATTTATTCTGCAGACAGCCAAGACCAATGACACATTCAGTAGCTGGTTGCGTGGATCCAGAGGGATGGCAGAGATACCTCAGAATCTGCCACCACTGGGAACACACTGAAGGTTTCTACATGGTACGGCCCCACTCCAGGCATGTTTTATGAGAAGGATTCTGTGTCGTTCACAGCCATTACTAGAAAGTACCAGAGCACAGATACACATACAACCACTCCTAAAAAGTGCTGTTGTCAGTAAAAGACAAAAATACTAACAAGCCTCAGCAGGAGGACACTGAAAGCAAAGCTCACCATTTTCTCTGAAATGTGGGACAAATGAGGCAGACCTATGACTAGTCCACATAGCCACCCCGAGACTCCCCTTCTACAGACTCAAACGTGGGGCAGAGATATTCCTAAAATATCAAATGCTACTGAGGATGTGGGCTGAAGGAAACCTGTACACACTGCTGGCAGGAATGTAAACTGTCCACCACCATGAGATCGCTTCCAGGGCTCCTAAAATAGTAAAACTAGATGGGTGACTCTGTCTCTGGTCCCTTGCCCTGCCCACCCTTTCCACACCCAGAAGCAGCAGCCACACACTTCCCCAGGTTTGCTCTGCTCATCAAAGAGCCTTCTTTTCTAAAGCAGACAGAGGCTGCCACATAGATTTCACATCTGGTCAAAGTGTGGCTGTGAGGTGCCCAGCCCCAGCTGGGTTAGCTGCAGCACAACCCCTCCACCTAAGGCTTCAGGGACACTGTAGAAGAGGGGACAGGAAAAGTGTAAGGACCAGGGTGGCTGCTGCAAGACGATGTTTTCCAGACATAAGATGCTGCACCTGTGCATTCTGCCTACACAAGACCTACATAATGACGCCAGCAGTTGACATGCCACCATGCATGAAGGGAAAATTCACAGGTCCTTCCACCTCATAAAGAACCCCAAGTGGTCAATGGCTACCAAGAGGGGGAGAATGAGACTTCTCTAGGCTTTATTCATTCACAAGTAGTCAGCCCTAAAGTACATGTACATACAAACAGAAGTAAACATGGGAGGCGTTAGATGGGGGAGGGATGGAGATGATGTAAATACAGTATGCTCATTTATGAAAGTCTCAAAACGTTAAAACATTTTAGAAATTCAAAAAGTGAAAACAGATCTACCACATGGCCCAGCTACACTGCTCCTGGGTGCTTACCTGAAGGACTCAAGTCCACATGTCACAGCGATATTTGCACAGCCATGTTTACTGCTCACAACAGCTAAGTATGGAACCAGCCCAGGTACCCAATGACAGGAACGGGTAAAGGAGCTGTGCTGTAGATACAGATGTATGTAGGCTATAGATGCCCCATATGATTGTCTTCTCACTGCAAAGAACAGAGTTATCATTTGCAGGAAAATGGGTGCAACGGGAGATGATCGTAGGAAGCAGATTAAGCCAGTCTCAGACAAAACTTCGTTGCCATGTCAGCTGCTGTTGCCATGCAGGTCTCGTGCAGGCAGACACATTGTGTGGTTTCCAGACCTTATATAGGTATATAGAACGGTGTGCGTATATATGACATGGGAACAATGGATACTAACAGGAGGGTACAGGGGTAAGATGGGAGGGTAGAGGGTTCTGGGAAAAAACATGTTCTGTGTACATATATGCGAGTACCATGTACAAGTAATATATGCAATGAATGTTTAAAAACAAATGTTAGTGGATGAAAGAAGGATTAATACACACATTAATGAAAGAGGAAATATTTCCTTTTTAATTGCAAAATTTGGAGTTCAGTGGTTAAGAGGATTTGTTGCTTTGTGTTGTCAGAAGGTTCACCACCGCCTTTAACTCCAGCTCCAGGACATCCCACACCCTGCCTGGCCTCTGTAGACAACCTGCATGCAGACATACAGACATACACACACACACACACACACACACACACACACACACACACACACACACACACAAATAAAACCTTTTTTTAAAAAAGGTAAATGTGAGTGCATCCATAAACTTTGATGTCCACAGAACCCTGGAGCAGTCCCCTGCATGAGAACTTCTCTGTCTATGGTCCAGCATGGTCCAGCACCCTGGATTAGAAGAACCCCTGGACCAAGAAGGGTCTTGAGACAAACAGGAAATATAGCCATGAAGGACAGCTGGTAGATTGTCACCCAGCTCTCTGGAGAGTATCTCCACAAGCTGAAACATTTCCCAGGGAGAGTGCCTT